ATAACATATTTCCTATTGACGGGTGGACGAACTGCACAATATTCTCGATTTGGCATTCCTATTTCTGTGCATGAAAATTCATCGTGTGAGATCAATCAGGCTAGCCCCCTTGCTGAGTTGATTATTCGCTCTTCATTGATCATATGGGATGAGGTCCCAATGATGCATAACATTATTTTGAAGCTGTTTAAGCATCTTTTAAACAGTAATGGGAGCCCTCGACCCGATAAACCATCATAAATCGTTCGGAGGCAAGACTGTTGTGTTTGGTGGAGACTTTCTACAAATTCTTCCGGTAGTTTCAAAGGGTAGTCGTCAGGAGATTGTTAATGCTGCTATTAACTCTTCTAGCATTTAGGGAGAATGTACTGTGCTTAGGCTTACAAAGAATATGCGTCTTCAGAGCATTGGCGATTCGAATGAACATGACGAGTTGGCCGCTTTTGCTGATTGGATAGCGAGCATTGGAGATGGAATATTGAGGGGTAAAACTGATGGATGTTCTCCGATAGACATACCAAATGATCTATTACTAGAGCCATCCGATGATCCAGTTGCAAAAATTGTTGAAAGCACATTTTCGATGTTCAAGGATGAAACCGACGATCCAAGTTACTTGAAGGATAGAGCTATACTTGCGCCAACACTCGATATCGTAGAATCTATTAATGAATACATGTCGTCATTAAATTTGACTGAGGGACGCACGTATTTAAGTTCATACAGTACATGTAAATCCGACTCCAATATCGACTTTGTGGCACAACTCCATACTCCTGAGTTCTTGAACACTATCAAGTGTTCTGGAAAGCCGAACCAGGAATTAAATTGAAGGTCGGAACTCCAGTTATGTTGTTGGGGAATATGGATCACTCAATGGGACTCTGCAATGGTACACGATTGGTTGTGACTAAACTCTCCAATCATGTTCTCGAGTGTAAAATTCTTACTGGCGATCATGCATGTGATAAAGTTTTGATACATCGGATGACAATAACTCCTTCTGATGTTAGAGTACCATTCAAATTTCAAAGAAGGCACTTCTCCATTATTGTTTCGTACGCAATGACTATAAACAAGAGTCAAGGTCAATCATTATCGCATGTTGGCTTATTCTTGAAGAAACCAGATAGTCATGGCCAGTTATATGTCGTTGTCTTTCGTGTTACTAACGGAAAGGATCTGAAAATTTTAATTTGTGGAGAAGAAGGTTTGAAAGAAAATCAAACCAATAATGTTGTGTATAGAGAAGTGTTTAATAATATATAATTTTTGTTTATATTTTGTATTCCTCTATCCTCTTTCTATTGTAATTAAATTATTAATTTATAAAGAAAATATTTAAAATAAAGTTTAAAAAAAAAAAGGTTTGAGGAAATAACCCCGACGTGCTGCGCACGGGTACCATACTAGTTAATTTATATTTAAGAAGTTAATCTGACTTTATTGTGTTTTTCTTATACCAAAAAAAAAATGAAAAATGCAAATTTTATATGAAAGGAAAGGGGAGATTCTACGGTTTCGTCGAAGTTTGTAACCGTTAAATCAACTATCCACGACAGTTACATAATGAACTAACGGTTACAAATCCCGACAGAATAGTTCCGGGACTATAGCATTCTGAAAGTAAATTGTATTTCTTATACTCCCTCCTATTTTTTTTAAATGTCATTCTAACTTTTTCAACTATTTGTCAAATAAATGACGTTTTGGATATTTTGTACATATTTTTTCCATTATTACCCTCATTTAGCCAATAAATACATTATGTCTTTTCATATTCACTCTTCACTTTTTCTCAAAACATTCATCTCTATCTTCATTAAATAAAGTTATTATTGACAAAAAAAATATTTTTAATTAATGTGCAACTTCTCAAAACGACATATATTAAAAAGTACTAAATTGCCGACAATATTTTTTTCCGCCCCCTTTTTCTCTCTCCCGCTAACAAATATTACGTTTATACTTATTATTAGGGCTGAGCATGGGACTCGGAGAATTCCGAACTGTTCCGAAAACCGAACCGAAATCACTCCGAACCGAAAAATAACCGTTGACCGTTTGACTTTCTCTGAATCGAACCGAACCGAAAAAATAATTGGTACGGTTATGAAGATTTCAAAAATATCCGTACCGAGAACCGAACCGAACCGTCCCATACCGTACCGAACTGAAGAACCGAAATTAAGAACCGAATTATAACATTATATGTGTTATTAATATATTTTATGTCACATTTGATCCTTTATAATATGGTAATAATAACTATTAACCTTCACTTAACTTTCAAGCTTAGTGATACTTCATCTACAATTGAATTTTTTCTATTATAAAATAATTGTTTAAAATAATATGAAAGGTTAAAGAATATCTTTTTAGAAAAAAATATTATATTTTGTTTGAATTTTAAATTTTCAATATTAGTTGCACAAATTTAGTTTTAACTAAAATTTAGAGTTACTTTTAAAGTTGATTTCAAAATAAAATTTTTAATATGGGGAAGTTCTGATGAATGTTGGTTTTATTAAAGCATATAAAAATTAAATAACCAAACTTTAGAATTACTTCTAAAATTGATTTCAAAAATAAAATCTTTAATATGATGAATTATTGATGAATGTTGTTTTTTTAAAGCATATAAAAATTAAAATATAACTAGGTAGTCATTAAAAAAAATTCTAAAAATATAAGAGATCTCCGAAGATTCGAACCAAACCATACCGAATCGTACCGTCTCAATAGTCCCGAATACCGAACCGAACCGAAAAATAAAAATCTTCGAACCGAACCGAACCGACTTTTTGGTACAGTTCTGGAGATCAAATTTTGGAATCTCCGAACTTTGGTACGGTTCCGGAGATTTATCAATCTCCGAACCGTACCGACCAACGCTCACCCCTACTTATTATATCAGAATTTGTAAAATACTTCAAATCAATCGACCATTGCTGGACGTTACTGCAAATGTTTCATTCTTAGAATTATGGTGTATTCAATTAGAACTTTTAAAGACTTCTAAAAAGTTTACATGTATTCAATTGAGACTTTTAATGACTTTTAATAAGTCTCTAAAAGTCTCAGGGTATTCAATTAAAACATTCTGAGAGTATTTATAAGTCACCCGATATTCAAAACAGAAAGACTTTGTGAGACTTTTTAAATTTTGAGACTTTTGGAGACTTTTGTAACAAAATTACAAAGGAAATGTCTCAACAGAAATCTCATCAATATTGGTGAGATTTTGCTGGACTTATGTGACTCTTTTCACGCTCTTTTTTTTTTTCTTTCTTTCTAACACGACTTTGTATCCCATATCATTTTCATGCTCTATTATTTTACTTATTTATTTTGATACCTTGTGTAAGTTTTATTTTCATTACATATTATTGTGATCTTTTTATTTTATATATTCTTTATTATGCTTATTTTATGTGTGTATACCTTATTCTCTCATTTTGCTATCTTGTGAATTTGACTTTTCAAAGGTTAATACTTCCATAGTTGCACTTGCAAATAATTTATTTGTTCTTTCTTTTTATTTGTAAATGTTTATTTCAAAATATTATAAAAAAAATATTTTATTTTCAAATAGTTTATTTGTTAATATTGAAATGTTTTGAATATTATTGATAATTTTATAAAATACAATTACTGTTTTTCGGCATGTTTGTATCTTGTAAAAATATAACCTAATAATATTTTTCTAATATAACAACATTATGCAAAAAATATATAAAAAAATAATAATTAAATAAATATATCTTAATTTGAGTTGATTATAAGTGTCGTTATAGTAGAGATGTCTAACACATATTTGACCTTGTACTCTTTTAACAAACAAATAGAAGGCCCTGCTCGATTCGACTCGTTGAAGCTCGGATCGATTTACTCGTTTAATAAATCTAAAATCCTAAACAATTTGTTCGTGAATAACTCATTTCGCATAAAAATGAGTTTATTCATAAATTTTTAGAGGATTAATATATACAACATCTTTTTATTTTTTCATTTATTCTTGTTTATATTAGTTATTATGTTACGTTTGTTAATATTTTATTCAAACATAATATTATAACTGCAAGTATATAAAAGTCTCAATAAGTTTTAAAAAGTCCATTATGAAAGTCTTAAAAAGTCACTGATGAAAATTCTCTGAAAGTCTCAAAAAGTCCACCAAAGTCATGAAAGTTCTACAAAGTCCACAAAAGTCATCAAATTTAAAAAGTTTTAAAAAGTCCTTAAAAATCTCAATTCAATACACCCTCCTAAGTTTTGTAGGTTTATATTGAGATATTCAAGACTTTCTTCAGCTGAAAATACCCAGCGATTTCATTTTTACAACTCTCGCGGCCTATTCATGCTTCTATTTTGTCGGCGTCGTTTGGATCTATAAGTTTGTGTCTCGTTTGCATGTGAAAAAGTGTATCTGGGGATCTAAGGCTTGTGTTGTATGGATGTATATTGTATATCGATGTCCAATTTCCGGTTTTCACTGATCAAAAATGAATTTTTGAGATGCCTTTTTTTTTTTTTTTTCCGAACATCATTACTAGGTTCAGATTGTTGTCTTGATGCAAAGGTTTAGAAACGAGAGTGTCTGGTTGTAGATTTTGCTGTGGGTTGCAGACATAGATTTGCATGATGGGAACTTTTTCAGTCTCGGTTATTTAGATGCATCTTTACATACATTGATTTGATCAATTACAGTGAATATTTGTCGGTTGTATGGCTAGCTTTTGTTTGATTGAGCTGAGGTAAGAGTGGAGAAAGCCGAAAGAAAATCGGTTGCCAAGGGTTCGTGTCAACGAACTTCACGAACGGCTATCGAAAGTCACCCAGTCCGATTCTTTGTTTCTTTGTTTTACCTACTCTTGTAAGAATTTCATGGAAAATCGGGTGGAACACCATCATTAGTTGAAAGCATGGTATTTACTTATGTGGTTTTGGATCTTTAAACTTCCATTTTTTTGTGTATACAGGTTTTGATTGATTTGCTGATGACTATTGAATCACCTTCGGGGACTCTCTGCCCAACCGAACCAAATTTCAGCAAAAATGACGAAACCGAGTTATACTCCGTATCCTGGAATCAGGATTTTGGATGCTTTTCCGCAGGCAGCAGTCAGGGTTTCCGCATATACAACTGCCACCCGTTTAAGGAAACATTTAGACGTGATTTAAAAGGCGGGAAATTCATGACTGTCGAGATGCTCTACAAAAGCAATGTCTTAGCACTTGTCGGAGCCAAAGACAATGCTCAGTTCTCTCCAAACAACGTCATAATCTGGGACGATCACCAGAGCAGGTGCATAAGCGAGTTCTCGTTTAGATCTGAGGTCCGTGGGGTTAAGCTGAGGCGAGACCGTGTTGTTATCGTTCTTGAGCACAGGTTGTATGTGTATGATTTTGTGGATTTAAGGCTCATTAGTCAGATAGATACAGTGGCGAATCCAAGGGGCTTGTGTTCGCTCTCAAACGACTTGAGCGCTTGTGTGCTGGCGTGCCCAGGCCTGAAATACGGGCAGGTTCGGGTAGAGCATTTCGGGCTGAATCTGACGAAATTGATTAGAGCACATGATTCTAAGATTGCTTTCTTGACGTTGACGGCTGATGGGCTGCTTCTCGCGACTGCTAGCGTGAGAGGGACTCTGATAAGGATTTTCAACACGATGGATGGTACTCTGTTGCAAGAGGTAATTTTCTTTTATTTTTTCCTTTTTGTTTTCTGAACGTGCATTGAAATGATTGTATTATGATGAATGTACTTAAGTTTCTGCCAGTGCTATAAACTGTTCAAGGCATATAAGTCTTGCCCGGAACCTATTCTTATTAAACTCGTGTCAGTCTGCAGTCAGGCAGGGTTTTCTCATTATCAAAACTGGGCATATGAGAATATTCTTTTCTTTTATGAATTGTGTGAAACTGATTCCAGCTAACCTCCTCACATTTATGATGTACTGTAAGTTGATGCCTTCTTGAAGTTTTCAGAAATGAAGATGCGTCTCGAGTTTTCAATGGAGGGTTATAAATTTGCAACAAGGAAAGTAGCCCGATAATTAGTTTAGAGCAGATGACACGTGAAAACAATATTCTTTGCTGGTTTCCTCGATTCAATTCTTCTGTCTTCAAATGAGACATAACCTACACTTAAACTGGTCCTTGATGCTGATGTTTGTTTACATGATTGTTCATATACTCTCTCATTACTTGATCTCTATTTTTATGTTTGCCATTTTTTATTGGCATTTCTTGCAAAAGGTGCGCAGAGGGTTAGATACCGCAGATATATACAGCATTGCTCTGTCTTCAGACGTTCGCTTTTTGGCCGTGTCGAGCGACAAAGGCACGGTTCATGTATTTAGTCTCAGAGTGAGGGTGCTTGGTGAGGACACATCAGCTGATTCAGAACTTAATCAGAACTTATCAGACTCTCTCGACTCTTTGATTTCTCAAAGCAATGGTGCCAATCCTGGTTCATCATTATCTTTCATGAAAGGTTAGACTAATTCCATAATTGAAATTTATTGGTTGTAAAAAGGCTCCTTTGTAAGTGGAGTGTGTGTAAAGTTTTGAGAGACCTGAGTACACGGATGATAGATACAAAAAACTATCCAGGAAGCCAAGTGATGATACGAAAATTGTATAATATAAACATAAACTCTTGAATTGTACTTAAAATCGTATGATATAAGATCTCTCAAGTGATGATTGGCTACATAGTTCATGAAACCTTTTCTTGATTGTAAAACCTGAACTGATTGTTTCATATCACATTATTCTTGTCAGGAGTCTTGCCTAATTATTTCAGTTCAGAATGGTCTTTTGCTCGGTTTCACCTGCCGGAATGTAGGACACGTTTTATTTTGGCTTTTGGGTCTCATAACACCATCTGTATAGTGGGCATGGATGGGAGGTAAGACCATTATTTGAGTACTCATCTTTTATAAGTGTCACCATTTTTCACTTGCAAGTGTTCTGCTGTTCTGCTTCTTTAACTGACACATAGAAAATAATGGGCCGTGAATTAGTCTCGATTTGTATTCCATCATTCAAGAAAACCTGAAATGCAGCTGATATATTCTCTGTTTTCACTCTTCTTTCGATTATCAGTTTCTACCGGTGCAGTTTTGACCCAGTGAACGGAGGAGACATGGTGCAGCAAGAGCGTGTAGACTTTCTTAAAACAGAAACTCGACATATATAGAGACATACATATACTTCTTAGCAATTTTGCTGTTATTAGTTCGTTTATTAATTCTCTTTGTTTTTTTTTTTCACGACAAGTGTAGATTTTTTGTATCTTTGGATCAATGGTATTAATGATTAAACATGATCATTACCCGCAACTCATCAGTTGGGCAGGGTTTAGAAAGTAATTAACAATGTATTAGTAAAAAAATGTTGAGATTAATTACATCAGATTTGTGGCTAGAAGATATTCTTGCACAATGGATACTGCTACACTTCATTAAACGAAATTAATGACTAATTACAGTGTCACCCCTGGGACTCGGCTCAATCTCAATTACAGAAACATTTCAATTAACCATTCAATGTTACTAATACACCCTTGAAAGAGGAAAAGGCAAAAGAAAATGAAACATATCAAACGGGTGGTTGTTCTTGTTCTTGATTTCAACTCAAAGTCCAGTTCTTTTGCAGTCAACCCAAACTTCAGGGGTCAATTTTTGTCAATATATCCTCCGGAACTCCAAGAGTCGACCCTAGAACGGAGGGTAGGTCGATATGGAGACACCAACATCTCCCGAAGGGCCAGGAACATCGAATCCTGACATGAAATCATCGCCAAAGATCACTGCTCCAGCTGCTAGTGCCCCCGCGCCAACTCCCATCCCAAAACCGGGCCGCCCGTGTAGACCCGATGGGCCAAGTGAAGATGGCATGCTTATGTAGCTGCTAGGCCCATAGTTCGTGTTCATGGGAAAGACACTAGGAGTGTAGCTCACGTTAGAAGGGGGTGGCGGCAGTCGAGAAGGGTAGTGGCCGGGCCCAGTGGGCCCAGGGTAGTATGGTCCAGAGATCGGCCGCTGGTGGTGATTTGGAGGGAATGGATTCGACTGGCTGGTTTCCGGTTGGTAATTTTGAGGGAATGGGTTCACGTGGTTTTTTTCCGGTTGGTGGAATGAGGATGAAGGGAGTTGGGAAGGGGGAATGTGTGGAGATCCATAGCCGCTAGCTAGGTTGTTGCTGGCCTTGTGATCATTTAAATGAAAGCCTTCGCCGCCTGCGTATGAGATGAGGTTTAAGGGATGATTAAGAAAAAGTTCCCCTGCATTTTCTTTTTCTTTTTTTTTTTTCTTTCCTTCTCTTGAAACATAGCAGCTACCTATAAAAATTACACTAATAATACCCTTCACATTGAAAATTTGATTAAAAACCGGAAACGCCAAAAGGAGCATTCATCATTATATGCAGAACGAAGAGAAAAAAAAATGTTATACTTAATTCTGAAAATTATTTAATACTGTAATGATAGGACAAACTTCAAGGACATTTTTTTTTGATTAATTATACTTGGTAATGTATATGTGCTTCAAGTTCAAGGTGTTCATACCTAAATACGACGAGCCAGGCTCCTCCCTTTCTTCTGAAACTCGGATCGAGACATCCACAAATCCGAGAGGCTTGTTCGAACTCTTTTTCCTCAGCTGAAAGCTCCCGACTTCCTCCACAGGCTTCGAAACATCCGATTTCAAATCAAACTTGTTGAGAAATTCCTTCAGAACAATGGTAGCCGAGCCCAAGAGGCTCCGCTTGAGAAATATTGGCTCCCGACTGTGGACCTCAACATGTAAAGCCAAATCTTGAAACTTGGACTCATCAGAAAGATCAACCGCCGCAGAAAACTTCATTTTCCAAACCGGATTTCCATTCCCTGAGGTGTCAATTTTTGTGCAGTACTTGTTTTCAGGATCTATCCATCCAACTGCAAACCACTGGAGCTTTAAAAAGGATGAAGTTCGTCTGAGCCCACGAGCAGAAATTAAGCATACCTCAATCCATATTTTACCCATCTCCTAGAAAGTGTAAGGTAATCTGTGTTTATGGTGGAAAGAGGAGGAAAAGGGTTTGTGTCCTTGGTGGCTGGTGGTACATTTTCTTGATAAAAGGGAATAAAGTATAAGTGAAAGGGTGTGTAATGCTTTTGGACAATTGGACCTTTAGAAGGCTACCTTGCTTTATGACTAGGAAAGAAAATTTTTTTAATTAAGATGTTTCACATAAGTGGTTTACAGATGGAGAGAGAATTAGATAACTATAGTCAAATGTTCACAAGAATTTGTGCATAAAGTGATGATTATTCAAACAGTTATTTTGTAAGCTGATAAAAAAGACTAAATTTTTTGCCCTTCTGCACAACATTTAGTATGTAGTAAACCAAGATTAATTAAAAATATGACTAAAAGGGGTGGAATTGTATTAAATCATTTACAAGTAACTAAATTGTGAGCTTCCTTGAAGGTGGAATTATTAGTAGCTTTCTACCAGCTGATACAGCTTGCTCATTGTTGGAGTTACTAGAGGCCGAACGTGTATACATCATTGTGGTCGAACCCAATATATCTTCCCCAAATCCACATGCACTGAAGAATAGCCTGTGTATGGAACACATAAGCTGCACTATCTTTAAAGACAGTGAATTAAGGAAAATCAAATTCTTCAGCTAGCCAGGCATCAGCAGAAGAAAGACATGAAAGATGGATACAATAACTCTATGTTTCAGATACTGAAGAATGTAATAGCCAAAATGTATACAGCAATTATTCATATTCACTAGAAATGCAAAATTATACTTGATCAGCGACTTGGGATTTCCATAAGACGCTTAAAATGAAACAAAACAAGAATGACACCATCACTTCCGTCTGACCTCAATCGAACAATGGATGAAAATGATTCTCATTTTCCAATAATAGTAATATAATCATTACTCACCTACAGAGTCGAGCTCCAGAAGCTGATGATCAGTGGCAATTAGAAACAAAAACAAGAACAAGATTTACCTTTCACTGCCAGTACAGAGTGCAGATATATCATATATCCCCCTGCTAGCAAGCATTCTGCAAAACAGATGAGAGGACTTCACAAATCATAAACTTCTATATCACATGAACAAACAACATGTAGTTTGCCAAAATCCACCATTAGAACAAACCTTACGATTCTTTTAACTATCATCCGACCAATTCCCTGACCTCGTAAAGCCGGGTGAACCTGTAAGACAGCATAGCACACCATTACATGTATCCACTCCAAAAGATACTATTACTTGCTGTGAAAAATGGGTACAGTTAGCTAAAAAGGATGTGATGAAAAAAAAAAAAAAAACTAACCATGGTATCTAGCTGCATTTTTCAGGTTGCAACAGACTGAAAACGTATTTTCTAGACATTGAATTTTCGATCTTCCTATTTATCCCCTTTCCTTAGTTATGCACTTACCATGACATCATAGATGGCAGCCGTCAATCCCAAATCAGAGACCGCGCGAACAAACCCTACCAGCCGTCCATTCTCCGGCGTCACCCGAGCCAGCTTTCTCATCCAACCTCCGCTCAAACCGATGAAATTCGTCACCTCCTCCGAATCGGTCGTTAAAAATTCGGGCCTGGTGAAAGCCGACACGACGAAGGGGCTGTGGGAAAGGGCGGTTCGGAGCTTTATCTCGTCGATGGGTTCGAATCCGCCGGAATCATCGACGGCGGGGAATCGATGGCCGGATAGGTTGCAGGCCGCGTAGAGCTCTCTGAGGTGATTTAGGTTGATGTGCACTGGGTTTGTGGATATAGCTATCGGCGGCGAGAGGGATTTGGGGTTGATTTGAGCGGCCACCTTGACCGAGGATGGTGAAATGGGGCGGGCCGTGGAGAGAGGGTAGCGGCCGTGGGCGGATGTTGCAGCTGCCATTACCGATGCCTTGGAGATTCTGTATCTGTATCATCTATAAATATATAATTTGGCAAGACAATCATTTAATTTTATTGTGATGCATTAAATTTTATTCTCCCTCCAATTTTTTTAGCATTCAATTTCATTTTTAAGTTACAAATTAACTTGCTTGAATGCCATAAATTATGAGCATAAATCAATTAAGGGAGTTACAAAATTGATTTAGCATAAAGAAAATGGTTGTAATGGCTCTTCTATTTTATTATTTCCTATTTGTTTGAGGGTACTGTGAAAATTTCGACGCAAATTTTTTTTTAACATGGTCTCCTATACTATGGCGATCATCAAGAGTCAAGATCAATCTCTCTCACACGTTCGCTTAGTCTTGAATGACCCTGTTTTCAGTAATAAACAATTGGACGTTGCTTTTCTGGAGTTACTAATGGGAAGTGTTTGAAAATAATGATATGTGGTGATGGTGATTCTGACGATAGAAAAACCATAAATATTGTATACAAACAATATGTTTAATAAAATTTAAAATCATTTTCTTAATTCATATTTTTTCTCATGAAATGAATTATGGTTATGTATTTTTTTATATTATTATCTTTTCTAAGTATTTTTCTCCGTGCAAATGCACGGGTTGAGCACTAGAATGACTTATATTATTATCATTTCCTTCACATTATGTCACTTCCAAATTGCTTATTATAATTATTAATAAAATAATTATGATAATTATTCCCCGTAATTGGAAAATCCCCATCAGCAAAAGAATGACTTATAACAGTTGTTTATTCATATTTATTTTGCAAAAATTAATCCCAAAGATCAGACACATTATAATTCGAATTATTTATATTAATTAAAATAAATTAATACTTAGCTAAATTATGATGGCCAGATAAATTTGTTTATAATCCCAATACTAACTCCTTCAAAACATGGATGAATTTCAATATATTCTTATTTTATGGAAAAACAAAACTGGCGGTGTTTATAAATTCTTCCAACTACAAGTTCAAAAATTTCAAGGATTTAAATAGTCCCAAGTTTGTTTTTTTCTTCTTAAAAAGGAGGATCTAAACTGGTTCCCCAATTCCCCTCCGAGTGACTCGAACTCGGGACATGGTACACGCCAAGTGAGGGTACAATAGTCCCAAGTTTGTTAACCCAACTATGCTTATAGGTACTGTTTAATTTTTTGTCTTTATAAATAGCTATTACATTTTCCTTTGTTGTTTTAATTATATCAATCAATTATTTTTTATTATTATTGTTGTTATTATTATTATTTTGAAGATATAATCGTTAGAATAGTCATGTACCAAAATGTGCAAACTACCATCTTCAAAAGGTGTTGACAAGAGATTTGTTGACCAAAATTGTATGTGGCACCATCTAGAGTCATCAGTCGGAGGAGTTTGGAGATAATAATTTGTGTTGATGGAGATTGTGACGATAGAAAAACCACGAACGTTGTATATAAAGAAATATTTAATAATATTTAGATATTATTTCTTATTTTGTTTCAATGATTATGTTATTATTTTTATATTTGTTTTTTTTTACTTTATTCTCTTCTATCATATAACTTTCCGTGCAAATGCACGGGCCAAAAACTAGTATATTCATATTATGATGGCATTTCCTTAAAAATAAATTAATGTCTTTCATAATTGATATTTCTTTTAGATTAATAAAATATTTTTGTTATTATAAATAGCTAATTTACTACTAGTATTTACCCATGCACAACAATGTCATGTTGATGATACTAAAGTATCAAATAAAAATTAAATTCAAAAATATAAAAAATTAAAATGAATTGTTATCTAATATATATTTTTTTTTCCAAGTCAAACAAGCAAATTTATAACACACAAATGACAAGGTCTTACAATACGAGACCTAATTAGGCACAAAAGTTGTGCGGGTAGCACAACCACTAACTCAACAACACCAGGAAATCCGAATTACAAATATCATTGAATGGCCATATTAGCCAGAGAATCTTAAACTATACAAATGTCACAATCAAATTTGAAAATACAAGAATCAAAAGATAAACACAATAATCTAATAGAATCAGCTTCATCTCCATGCATGCCCCCTTCCATTAAGTGCTCCCAACACCAGTTCACAGCCTGCAAATTATCCATAAAGCATGTCACATTCCTCCAATTGTATTTCTGAGCATATTTAAGTACCCAAAATACTCAAACAGCGTAGGCCTCTATTGGACTTCCAACAAAGTCCCTAGATGCATCCCATAATTGTAGATCTTCCTCTTCATTGAAAGCTCTTCCTCCCAACCCAATCTTCCATTTTTCAGACAACTAACAGCTAATGAAATAGAGTTCTTAGAATGGCTGATGCAATTCCTAGCAGAGCTATCTACCCCATCCCTCTCCTCATAAGATACATCCTCTCTCCTTTGCACACCTCTCAAATATCTCCATTATCCCCTCCCCCATGAACTGACCTAACCAAATGCCACTCATCCACTGGCCTCTCCACTATTCTATTTTTCCCCTCTCAATTTTTTTTCAGAGACCCAAATGTTCCTAGTTTTCCATGACTACCCCAATAAGTAGGTGGAAAAACTAATTCTATCAATCATACAGCTGGCCTTAGAAGCATTACAAATCTCCCCCCACCACTTCCCAAACCCACACCTCTCAGTCCCAATAAATCCCTATCAGTTTCCAACACCGCACAGCTCTCGTACAATGAAAAAGAATATGTTTTAAGTCATCTTCTCCCTCACCACACACTCCACAAATCACATCACAATCAATCCTTCTCTTTCTCAATTGAACATTAGCCCCCACAAAATCATTCCAACACCTCCATAGAAATGATTTAACTTTATTCTGAATAGGGAGAGACCAAATGACTTTCCACATAACCCACTTTTCCCCTGACTACTGCAAGAGCCCCTACCCTCATGCTTAATCTTCTTATCATTGATGATAGAGAGGTAAACACTCTTAACACTGAAAATCCCTTGTTTATTCCCTCCCAAGATTAACCTATCTCTCATCCCCAAAGCATTAAGAGGAATTCTAAGAATAGTTGCAACAACTCTGGGTTCAAAGGATTGCCTAATCAACTCTCTATCCCAAGAAGTTCCCCTCTCACTCATAAGCTCTCTGACCTTACACAATCTATCCCTATCCCTTAGGAAATAACAAGATGGAATAAAACCTTGAATATCTGGGACCCAAGGAGAATCCCAAATACCAGTATTTATGTCATCCTCAATCCTAATTCTAGCTCATAATCTAAGAGAATCCCTGGTCCCCAACCAGCATCCCCACATCCAAGAATCCCCCCTTCTAGCATTAATATCCCAAATTTTTTTCCCACATAAATACCTCCCCCTAATGACTCTACTCATCAACAGATTATGCCTGGTTAAAACTCTCCAAAGTTGCTTCACAAGCAATGTCTCATTAAAAGCTTTAATATCTTTGAACCCTAATCCCCTTCAACCTTAGGTTTAGCTAACCTATCCTATCTAGCCCAACGAATCTTCCTACAGAACCGAAAGGGGGGAAGTCGGTCGATTTAAACTCGTTCAGAATAGACTTGTTCGTTATTGTATTGTCTACGTGTTATTGGATTTGATAGTTGATCGTTTACATTCACTCTCTTGTTACGAAGAGTATTGAGAGTGAACATCTAGACGAGTAAACAATTCAAGTCCTTTAATCGAGCATCTGATTGTCCGGTAATTGTGTTGGAACCGAAAGCGATTATCCCAGACTCCCTAGCTCTTTTATCATTACGAGAATTTGTTTGGAACTGATATTTCGTTTTTCGTTGTTTGAGAATCACTAGTTGATAATTGAAAACCCAAATTATTGAATTAAAGTGTTTAGGATTTATTTTCTCTTTTTTTGTGATTGAATATTCACACAATTTAATCCGGCTAAAAATAAAGTCGCTCATAAATTGTTAAAATTAATAAATTGGGCTTAAATTGCAATCAAATTACAAGTTGTGATCTATATCTATATGATGGACCAATCCTTATTCCATAATTTGCAAGATTTCAGGCGAAAAATTTTTTCGTCCATATTTGACATTTTATTAATATTTATTTATTAGTAAATCTTATGCATAAATTTAATTTTTATACACGTAATAACTATTACTCATTAACTACAAATTGACTCAATTTAAATTTTGACCATAGATTTATTAGATATATTTTCAATAAGATCTTATATTATTTTAATAGTAATTTATTGATAAAATTCAAAAAATTGTTATGGAAATTGATTTGATTAGATATATTATCATCTACGGTTTTAGGAATTAATTTAACTAATTATGTTCGCTATTCAGAAGTACTTAATATATGTAATTAAATATATAATCAGAATAACTATATTTAAATCATACTAACTTGATAAATAATTTAAATTATTAATAAAAGTTTATGAAATGTAGTCCATTTAACTATAAAAAGGTACATCCCTATTGAATATATTATACACAATGATAACACTATTAAAAATTTAAACAATATACTAATATAAATAAATTTGATGGTCGAGTGCAATTTAGAATTATAAATTTCACCTTAGAAATATCTATGTTCATTAAAAAAACTATTAAATTTTTAAAAATGTATTCCTTTTCTTATATACTATTTTATAAATGAAAATATGTTAATAAAATAGCAATGTATAATAATTTAAATTGTAGCACTAGGTAATTGTGAAAATATATAATGTATCTAAACATTCGAATAGATACTATGTAACTCGTTATATAGGATGATAAAAAAAGAGACTATAAAAATAAAAAATTTAACCATAAAAAATTGATGTGTTGCATAAGAGTTAAAGTTACTAAAACTTAAAATTTATTTACCATTTTTAATGCATGTTAATACTCAATTCTGGCCTCGCCTATTAAAATATTACACGTGGATATGTATTATATCAATTGTTTTATTTTATGGCCCACAAATAGCACCGCTTGTAATAATAACGGGCCCACCAAAAATATATATATAAACCTCAATGATGGACGTCAAACAGATAGGTCTGAGGGGCTATTATTACTTTTCTCCCTACTCTCATTTTCTTTTCCTCGTATGAAGAAAACTCATGTAAAAAGATGGAGCCTCTTCTTCAATTTTTTTTTTTGATTGATTTAGACAAAAATTACATACAAAATATCAAGAAATTCGATTTATTCGACATATACGAACAATATTCTGAACACCCCATGTTGATACAATTTCGCATATCTACAATGCACTTAATAATAATAGCGGAAAATAAATATTATGGGTTCAATGTCGGTCAATTATCAAGCAGGGAAATGTTACGGTCCCGTTACGGAGCCATTCCGTCGGGGTTTGTAACCGTTAGATCAACATGTAACCGTCAGAAATAGTTGATCTAACGGTTACAAATCTCAAAAGAATGGTTCTGTAATTGGACAGTAGCATCTCCCTATCAAACAATGTGTAAATATTGAATTGTTGAAAAAATTATAAGACTATAATGAACGATAATTTTATAAGTACATACAAGTAGTTTGTATGCAAATATCATATGATATTATATATTTATAATATTTTATAAACTTATAAATAATAAATTTATATATTAAATAATCAAACTAAAAATAAAAAATAATATATAAAAATAGAAATAGAAATTAACAATAATAGTAAATAAATGAATGTCATATTATTACTGAATAGAATGTTGTGAAGAATATAATTTATTCATATTGTCTTATATAATTTTATAATATTTAAATAAAAATATATTTTGTACTATCCTGTGCATCACACGAGTATCAACACTAGTTTATTTATTTAGTAGATTAACATCCATATATAAAATTGTAATTTTCGAAACAAGATAAACTTGTACTACCTCCTGTTCATTATAAATGTCGTTTTGACTTTTGTGATTCATCCATTTTATTATGTATCTAGACATTAATATGTCTAGATACATAACAAAATGGATGAATCA